GTGACAGTTTTGTGTTGGTGGTTTACCTAATGCCCTTACCTCATTAGATTATGATAAATAGGCTTGTCATTTTGCAAGTTATGTATTTTGAACATTTATAAATGAAGCCATCCTTTAGACTTGTGATCACCACGTTATTATTCATTTTCCTCTGTAAAAGGATCTTGAGTTGTTTTAATTTTTTTCCTGCATCTAAATCTGCATGATTTCCAAACCCTGTACCATCTGAATTTTGCATTTTAGCACTTGCACTATTACTCAGCAGCAGTAACATGGTAACACTTAAAATGGTATTCGGGGACCTCCAAAGACTAAACTGACAAGCCTTCAAGGAGCCCAGGGGTAAGTTAACTTGTCAATGGCATGGTTTTCATCCCTTATTTACACTTGTGTAAATCTAGTTACTAGTCATAGAAGGCTTTCTATGTTGAGTAGCCTTTTATTAACATGTTTATGATACTACATAGCTATGGGTATTTACCCCCCATCCCCCCCAAAAAAATTGGAGTTTAGTAGTACTTAAACTATTTGGCAAAGATTTGTTTTTGAAAGTCTATTTGGTCATCTAAATGCATTCATTCTAAACATTTTTTGAACCAGTTGAATAAAAATTTTTGTTGCCACCACAGTTTAGTGTCTGGAGTCTTACTGGAAAAAACATGATTTCCTTTTTATAGTTGACAAAGATGCTTGAAAGTTACCTTTGAAAAGTAATTTCAAGAAGTTGTACTTTATATGCACAAGAGAAATTAAACCAAAACTCAACAGTGAATTTTTATATTTAATGGTAACTATTAGTTAGACTTAAAAACTTTAAATGTTAGTATTAAAACTTAATTAGGGAAGAATAGCCAACTAAAATCAAATCAGATTTTTAAAGTTAAATCACCATTTATATTTTGTCCTTAGGAGGAAAAAGCAGGAAGTTAGCTACTCAGTTGTGAAGGTGTAGGTGATAATTAGAGTAACTTGTTGAGTTCTAGGAGGGTTATTCGTAACTGTATTAGAATTCTTTTCCTTACTTAGCTTTTGTTTAATCTGTTTGGCTTAACCTTGCCCCCAGGTATTTCATGTTGAAATACTACACATTTTTTCTACTATTACCCCAATTTTAATGTATATAATCTTGTGGAAATGCCACATTTGATCCAGTCAGCTGTATGAATTGTGCATTAGGTTATTTCTCATTGTTAGAACCATCCTTATAATTACATTAAATTTTAATTTTTAGCATGGGAAATCCCAGATCAAATTATATATGTTTGTAAGGATTTTGAATTGTATTGCCAAATTGTCCTCTAGAAAGTTTATGTTGTCTTAGACGGTGTAAAATAGTACGGTTCCAATGTTCTTTTTGTTTGATAGTTTGATAAATGAAAAATTACATCTCACCGTTTTGTGGTATTGGTTTTTAACATGGAAATCAGTCAGCATATGGTGTCAGCATTTCCAATTTAGGTACCCCCAAAAAGTGATCCAGGGTTATTCCTGAGGCAACATACTGCTGCAAGGAGTCTCCAAAACATGCACAAGGACCAACCTCGTGGCCTAGTGGTTGAGGGTTTCAGATCACACATGACCAGCTGCACAAGTCCCAGACCCAAAGGCTTGAGAAACATTCTGGGCACATGTGCATGCATAAATCCCAGCAGGGTGGAGAAACGAGAGGGATTGTGGTGTGACCATGCCCCATTGAGAGTTGCTTTCTCTCTCCCTCATTCTCCGTCTCTTGTGAGCATGTACATTCTTTGACAAAATTTTTAAGGATTATTTATTTAATTCCATTTGTTACTATTTTAAAAGAACTAGTTTGTTTAATCTTACTATCATTATTTTATTTTTAATTTGACCAGAGAGAGAGAGACGGGTTGGGAATGAGAAAGCAAGCCACCAGTCCCAGGACTCAAACCCTCATCAGCCATGTGGGAAATCCAGCACCTTAACCACCATGCCACCAACCTGTTGGCCCCAACAAATTTTTTAATTCTCAAAAAAAGGCCTATTAAAAATGTGCATAGAGGTCTGGTCAGGTGGCATGGTGATTAAGGCCACTGACTCCCACATGGCCAGCTGCGTGGTTCGATTCCTGGACCTGGTGGCTTGGGTAGGGGAAAACCACCATGTGTGGCTGTGTGGTCATCCTTTGTGGGGGCAGTGGGTGTTTTCTTTCCCCCTCTCTCTGTATGTATGCATCGAGCAAGTACATGCACCCTATAGCAAAACTGAAAATGTATAGATTTCAAAATGTATTGGCACTGAAATATTCATAGTTCAATTAAATTTCTCCATGAACTTTTTGAAGTCCTGTTGTATGTAAAGCACCATTAGAGATCAATAAGAGCAAATATGAATACCATCAGCATGAGTGGACAGCTTACAAAAATGCAAACGGCCAGTTTGAAAATATATTGAACTTCGTAAATACTTGAATGCAATTTAAACAATGCATTGAGTTGACAAAGATGAACACTATAATAGTTTGTCCTCTTGAATTAGCAAGTTGAGAAGTATCTGCAACAGCAGTCTCACCTGGAATTTTGTTGTATTTTGGAGGTGAAACAACTGCCATGCTAATGCTTCACAGATCACATTGTCACTAAGATTTGTTATAGTGTCTTCTAAAAATAAATCATTTATTGATTTAAGGCATATAAATTAAGAATTACTAATTATGTTCTTGATCCAGGGAATGTAGTTAATGACTTTTGTGTAGACTCCATACTGATCTGCTTCCCCACAATTAATGGAACCCCAGGACACTATTCCTCCCACAAACCACTTCCCAGTTTCATTATCCAAAAATACTAATGCCCCTCCACTGTCCCCTTTACAGCTGTCCTTACCCCCGCTTTCTAAGCCTGCACAAAGCATGTTATCAGTTACCTTTCCCCCTGGGTAGGGCTTCTTTTCATATGCATCAGTACATTTTTGATGATCAACAACTGGTATATCAACAAACTGTAGAGTTCTAGCAAGAAAACCTCTTTGGGTTAATCCCCATCCAGATACGGTTCCAGTATCATTTATCCTCATAAAGGATTCAGCTGCTTTTCTTGGCAGACAGATGGGTATGATGTTGCTATTGATTTCAACTTTGTTCTTCAATTTAATCAGTGCTATGTCATTGTCAAAACCAGCATTATGAGTGTAACCTTCATGTATGAAAACAGCCTCAGCCCAGGCTTGTGTGTAATCAGATGACAGTCTCTTCAGGGCACCCATTCGAATGTCCAGGGAGGATACCTCATCTTTCTGCTCATACACGGCATGAGCAGCTGTTAGGATCCAGTTGTCATACAAAAGTGCTCCTGCTGCTGTAGTTGAGCCTAGTAACAGGACTTGCCAAGGAAAGTCCCCAAGCTTTGCGTTTTGCCCTCCATATATACGACCTTTTGTAGTATGGTTTGATAGTCCACAAACTGGGGAAAGAAACAGAGTCTTTATAGAAACCCTGTGATAGTTTTCTCAAATTGTCCCTACTTTGGAGTTAGTCAGTGCTTAACTGGAAATCAAGTCATAAATGTAGATATCTACCAGTCTAGGCAAGTAAGGCAGTTTTAAAACAACCAGTTTAAAGACCTGATAAAAACCTTTAGCATTAGCTCTTGAGAAAATGATGAGTGAAATTTAACTTCCAGAAATTTGTTTCTCCAAAAGAAATTGATCTGTAAGGTTGGAGAAATTATGTAATAGGGTAAATGAGAATGGTCTGCTGATGCACTGGATGATGTGCATAGGAAGTGAAAGCATGTTCTCATTGCTTTTGTTCTCCTGTATGTAAAAATGTGTTTATCATGTAATTCTGGGAAAGCAGGAACTAAGGTCACTAAAAGGACCTTGCAAAATTACTTTCACTTTTGAACATATAAATGTTTAGAATTAAAATGTTGCAGTTGTGATTCAGAAACTATTATTTTTGGTCTAGGTGATTCCTCCAAACACTAAATTTTACTTATTTTTATTGCAAACTAAATACACTCATTAATGTACCATATATGTTTTCTGTTGTGGCGGTATATTTGCATTAAAATTTGAACACGTGTCTGCCAAGAATTTTTTTTTTTTTTTTACTTAATTTAAGCCAAATAACACAGGAGTTATGAATATATTATTACCTTTCTGGTATTTTTAAAATCACACTACTCAACTATTATCTTAGGAGCCAATTCTGTTTAAAAAATTTTAAGTACTATTAAAAGGCAAATTGCATTAATGTTTAAAACTAGATGTCATTGAAAACAATTGCTTAGGGAAATAATGAAGTTATTAGCTTTGGGTTTTAATAGCATTTTTGCAGAGAAGAAAAGTAACAGAAGAACTCGTGTTTATAAATGTGTAAATGGTTCAAGATAATTTTAAAAATCATTTAATTTTTTTATGCTTGCCTAGTTATAAGGTCAGAAATAATCAAATGACGGATGCAGTCAGCACCTAACAACCTTTTCATATAGAAAGGGGATAATGAGAACATAGTATTTAGAACTAATAACTTAGTCTAAGAGCCAAGTGCTGAAGTTAACGTTTCTGCCGACCACAGCTAAAGCTCTACTTATTGTTTCCCACCCAGTTCTACTTTCCATCAATTACGAATCTCTTGTGTAAATGTATCCATTACCAGGCTCACAGACTGGGAGTGATTTTTCTCCTTTGGAGCTCGTCCAGAATCCATCAGCCTCACACACATATTTACCTGCAAATCATTGGGAAAAGCAAAAATGTTAACTGTGTGTATAAGGTGGTTGTCATTTGCTTGAATACCCCCTTGAAAAATGTTGATTCTTGAGCGTCAGTGGGAAATAGAGATGTCTGAATAACCGTTTTACATGATTTCATAAATAGAAGGTCTCTGCATTACCATGTTTGCTTGCAAAGTGGAAACCTTTTAGATGTGTAGCTTGAATATGTATCAAGATCTCAAGTGCTTAATGATAAGGTTTTGACTTGTTAAATTAAACCATTTGGAATATATTGTGTGTTTGTAGTAGTCATTTACTAGATAAGATCTGTTTTCAGATTCTTGCAAATTGACATTAAAATCACTTCAGCTATATTTCACTTACTGGGTGGGAGAAGTGCCTTTTAATCTTTTGTCTCCAGCCTTAACCAAAAAATGTTGGTAAGAGTTTATTTTTGGACCATGAAGGCCCAAGTTCCAGATATTACTCACCCTCAGCTTTGGAAAACCTCACTTACCATCATCTGTTTTCATTGTGTAGAAGGTCTCTTTACAGCTGTACTGGATCACAGCTTTGTACGTGGTCACCTCAGGACCTGTGATGTACTTCACTTGGCCATTGGGTAGATTCTCAGGGGGGCCACAGTCGACAACTAGTAAAGAGACATGGTGATGGGGGTGGGGGAGAGGCGGTTTGTAGCTTCTACTCTAACAAATCAGAAAGGTCTGGAGGCTTAAGCAACTAATCTAAAGAAGTGACTATATGTGATGCGGTCATTTGAAGCTATATTCATTTTCTCTTTATGGGCGTCAGTAACTTGATTTCTAGATATGGAGAGGATTGGTTAGTGTGATTTTTAAAGCATGACACCGATTCCCGTTCCTAATTAGACTAGAGGGAAAACCTTGCAGATTGAGTCAAAAGACAGTGACTTATGTCTTAAAACAGTTCTCTACAGCAGAAGACAACCAAAAATAGCTGTATTTCTATTGTAGATATTGAGAATTTGCATTGAGTAGTTTTTAACAAGTCAATAGCTGTATCCCTGGCTCTGTGCCAGGTGTTTTATTTATATTGTCTTCAATTCTCCCAGCAACTTTGATATGGCCATTCTGCCGTCCTGTAGATGAGAAAATGGGGGTTGGGGAGTGGTTTGGCAACAATTATACAGCAAAAGTGGCAGAATCAGGGTCCAAACCCAGGCCCCTGATTTCCCATCCTTTGTCAATGCCACCTTTACTGTTTTGTTTTAACTTTTGGAGAGGTTTTTGCTATAGGGTGCATGTGCTTGCCAGAAAGATATAGACAGAAAGCAGGAAGTCACCCCCCTCTCGGGGGGGCGGGGGGGACAGTCACACTGCAATCTCTTCTCCATTCTCTTGGAATGTTGGGCACACATGGGCCTGGCATGAGTTTTTAAGCCACCGGTTCTGGAAATTGATACACGGTCAACTACATGGGCTCTTGTCTATCTTGCTCAAGGAGGAAAGACTCCCTTAGGAACTCAGATCTGTGGGAGTGCATAAAGTGTACAAAAATAAGTGCAGGGGTGTTAACTGCAGCAGTATATGTAATATTAAAACGGTAAAACATTAAGTTGGCATATGTCAGGATGGGGTACTATGCAGCCTTAAAAAGATCGGCAACCAGCAGTTAGCGTAATGGCTATGTTGCTGGACTCCCACGTAGTCGACCGCGGTTCGTGTCCCGGACCTGGTGGCTTAAAACTCACGCCGGGCGCGTGTGCGTGCGTGCCCAAGATCCCGAGAGGAGAATGGAGGAGAAGGGATTGCGGCGTGACCATCCCCCCTGGGGGGTGATTTCTCGCTTTCTGTCTCTATGTCTCTCTCTGTCTGGCGAGCGCATGCGCCCTACAGTGAAAATCTCTCCAAAAAAAAAAAAAGATTTAGGTGGCTCTGTTACTTGAATGGATGTGGGAAGATAGCCCAACATACAGGGAGAAATACTGTAATCAGGTTTCCTCTCCCATTTTGTTTGAAAAGTATATAATAATGAATTACGTATTCATAAATATGGCATAGGAAACAAGGACTGAATAGTTCCCAAACACACTGATTTGGGAAGATGAAAAGGGGCTTCCACTTGTCTTACATATTTTTGTGAATATAGTATTTTTTTTCTAATTCAAATGAGAGGCTGTCAAAAAATAAGGAAAGATGCAAATGATGAAAAACGGGTTTCCCTTGGAACCAACAGCATACTGGCTATGACGCTGGACTCCCATGTAGTTAACCATGGTTCGAATCCCAGACCCGGTGGCTTAAACTCAAGCCAGGCATGTGTGTGTGCGTGCCCAAGATCCCGAGAGGAGAATGGAGGAGAAGGGATTGCAGCATGACCATCCCCCACCGGGGGGTGGGGGGTGGGGTGGGGTTTGATTTCTCGCTTACTGTGTGTCTGTCTCTTTCTGGTGAGTGCACGTGCCCTATAGCAAAAACCTCTCCTAAGAAAAGAAAAACGGGTTTCCATATTTTCTGCATCAAAAAATTGTGCTTAGGTTTTCCACACAAGATTTTTGAAGTTTTCTTTTTTATGCCATAGGGAATGTGCACTCACTAGAGAGGAACCGAGATGTGAAAAACTAAGAAATCACCTTCCAGGGAAGATGGTCATTCTTTTTCATTCTCTCTGGATTTGGGGCACACATGCACACAAGCCTGGCATGATTTTTTTTTTTTTTTTGAGAGGTTTTTGCCATAGGGCATGTGCGCTCGCCAGACAGACAGAAAGCGAGAAATAACCCCCCAGGGGAGATGGCCATGCCGCAATCCCTTCTCCATTCTCCTCTCGGGATCTTGGGCACGCATGCACACGCGCCCTGCGTGAGTTTTAAGCCACTGGGGCTGGGACTCGAACCGCGGTTGACTACATGGGAGTCCAGCGACAGCCATTACGATAACTGCTGGTTCCAAGCCTGGTGTGATTTTTAAGACATGCGGTCTGGGACCCAAAGCATGGTTGACTGGGAACCAGCAGTTAGCGTAATGGCTATGTCGCTGGACTCCCACGTATTTGACTACGGTTCGCATCCCAGACCCGGTGGCTTAGAACTCATGCCGGGCGCGTGTGCGTGCGTGCCCAGGATCCCAAGAGGAGAATGGAGAAGAAGGGATTGCGGTGTGACCATACCCCCTGGGGGGTGATTTCTCGCTTTCTGTCTCTATGTCTCTGTCTGGCGAGTGCACGCGCCCTATAGCGAAAACCTCTCAAAAAAAATAATAATAATAATAAGCATAGTTGACTGTGTTGGAGTCCAGCTCCTTAATCACCAAGCCACCTGCTGGCCCCAATTTTTGAAGTCTTAGTATACACATTTATGTGTGTGTGTGTTTATTTTTTAATTTTCTCGAGAGCATCCATGCTCACCAGAGACCAGGTGGGAGGTAGTGAGAAAGCACCTCTCATGGGGGATGGCCATGGTACAATTCCTTATCCATTTCTTTCAGAATTTGGGGCACATAGGCATATGCTCCCAGCATGTTTTGAAGCTGCTAAATCCAAGACATGGGGTCATTTCCTTAACCCCCATGTCACAGGTTGGTTCTGTGTGTTGCTTTATCATTGAAAAATACTAAAGGACTGGTGTCGTGGCCTAGTGGTTAAGGGAACTGGATTCCACATGGCCAACTACAATTCAAATCCTATGTCCAGCTACTTGAAAAAAAAGAACACCAGGGACGTGTGCTTGTGTGCCCAACATCCCTTAAAGGAGTGTGAACTGCCGAAGGGATTGTGCTGTGGCCATGCTCCATGAGAGGTTTTCTCCTGCTCCCCTTTTTCTCTTTTTAATAGTGTGTATGTCCTGAGGTGATAAAAAAAAAGAAACTAAAAATATTTAATTGCCTTCTGGCGATTAAAACGTGCACTTGCTGGGGTGAGGGGGAAAGAGAGCACCCATCAGTGGATCCTGGTCATGCTGCAGTTCATTTGTCCCTCCTGTTGAGATTGGGGCGTGCACATACACATGCCCATCATGCTTTTCAAGCTGCTGGGCCAGGATTCAAATCACAGTTGGCCATGTGAGATCCAGCTCCTTTAACAACTGTGCCACAGGACTGGCCCTAAAAATAATTTGACATGCGTGCTTCTTAGTTCACAGAATGGTAACACAGACCTTTACCCCAACTTGGGGAGTGCGCCCTCCCATCTCTGCATATGGTAGTCTAAACATGTCTGTGTGTGTGAAGTACAATAGGAATATACAACAAAATGACATGCTTTCATGGTGGTATGGGTATAAAGTGTAATTTTTTATGTATTTCCCATCATATCAATATAATGAGTAACTTTTATACTTAGTTTTTTTTTTGGTTTGTTTTATGTTTTTGCCATAGGGCACTGGGTTTGCCAGAGAGACAGAGAGAGGGAAAGTGAGAAATCACCCTCTACATTTTTGCCATAGGGCATGTGCCTTGGCCAGAGAGAGACAGAGACAGAAAATGAAAAAATTCACTCCCTAGGGAGAATAGACACACTGCAATTCATTCTCCTCTCAGGATTTTGGGTACACATGCACTCACACCTGGCGTGATTTCAAGACACCAGGTCCAGGACGCGAACCGGGGCTGACCATGTGGGAGTCCAGCACCTTGACCACCATGCCACCTGCTGGCCCTAAGAAAAATATTTTCCTTTTTTTTTTTTTTTAATTTTTCACCCCCCACAGGAAATGGTCATATTGTAATCCCTTTTCCCCAATTCTCCTCCTAGGAGTTTGGGCGCATGTGTGCATGCATGATTCACAAGCCAATAGGCCTGTGTCTCAAACCTCAGTTGGCCACATGAGAATTCAACACCTTAACTACCATGCCACCTACTGGCCTAAGAAAAGTATTTTCTAAGAACACACACGGGGCCAGCTCCGTGGCACAGAGGTCATGTGCTGCTCAAGAGAAGCCAGATCCCAGGGCCAGCAGGTGGTGTGGTGGTTAGGGCTCTGGACTCCCACATAGTCAATTGCAGTCTGAGTCTCAGATGTGGTGGCTTTATTTCTTTTTCTCTTGTCAAATTAAATATAATAAGCAGGGGGCCATCAGGTGGTGTGGTGGTTAAGGCGCTGAACACTCCCACATGGCTGACCACGGTTTGAGTCCCGGACCTAGTGATTTGCTTTCTCACCCTCTCTGTGTTTCTCTGGTCAAATTAAAATATAAATGAATAAATAAAATTAAATTTAAAAAAATAATAAGTAATTCTTTAAACAAAAGAAAACAGATCCCACACAGTGAATATAAGTCCCTGCCCCAGTTGGGGCACACATCTGAGTGTCCAGGATCTAAAGGGCTGGACACTTCTCACCACGGAGAGAGACAGGGAGAGGGACATGTTCTCACCATGGAGAGAGAGAGAGGGAAAGGGAGAAATTACTCCCCAGGGGAGGTGGCCATGCAGTAATCCGTTCTCCTCCATTCTCCTCTTGGCATCTTGGGTATGCACACATACACACCCAGCATTTTCAAGCCGCTAGGTCCAGGACTCAAACTGCAGTTGACTGTGTGGGAGTTCAGCGATGTAACTGGTAGGCCATCTGGTGGTCCCTAGAAATCACTTTTTAAAACCAAATAACTTTTCCCTAGTACCTTGGTTCTGTTTTAACCTTTAAGAGTGCCCTGAGAGATTGGGGAAGAAAAGCAGATTTGGAATTCACACCTAGGTGAAATTAAGGAACGAAAAAGGAAAAGGACCAGCAGCAGCATAGGAACAGTGCTAGCAGCAGCAGAAGCAGTTTCAAGGTTGTAGTCACCACACAGCCGTACTGCTGCATGCTGGCATCGGTTGGTCCCAAGATCCATCTTTCTGACAGACTGCAGCAAATGACTTCAGGGGCAAATGACCCTAGAGAGGAATTCAGAAAATACTCTCATTTACCTTATATGATCACTCCCCAAAGCTGTGCTTCCACAGTGGTGCTTATTCCAGCGTTTCATGAGATGGCCCCAACAGGAAGGAATGGTCACACGTCTAGTATTTGTGCGTGATGATGTACGGATGCCTGGGCCTGAGATGTACAGCCCCACTGCCAACAGCTCTGCTGTTTCGTATCACTTAGGTTAGCAGCTCGACTGTCAGTGCATGTTAGCATTTTGTGAATCAAGTGTTGACCTTTGCAGCAATTTATAGGGGTTTTTACTTTCCACGGTAATCCAAGAACACATTGAGGTTCGTGTTCATGCTCCACCATTTCTTTATATCAAGTGCCAGAAGGTTGTGCTTAGATGTTTGGAAAGGCCATGGGCTCTGACATGGAGTGCAGGTGTCTAACCTGTGGCCTTGGCCAGAGGAAGGCTACTGAAAATACCTTGATGAGGTTTATATATGTGTTCTCAGTCAACTCAGTGCCAGGGTCATTGGTAGAGAAACTTTTTGAGTGTATATGTGTTTTCTTTCCTATAGTGTGTGTACTTGCCAGAGAGACACACAGAGGGAAAGTGAGAGTGCACCCGCCAGGGTGTGGCCACACCACAACCTCTCCTCCCTTCTCTTCTCAGGATTCTGGACATGCATGCTCACGTGTCCAGTGTATTTCTCAAGCTACCGGGCCTGGGACTTGAACCTTGTAGTCAACCATGTGGGATCCAGTGCCTTAACCACAATGGCCACAGGCTGGCTGCAAAGAAACATTTTTTACCTACTGAAATATCTTACCAAACTCAAACATCAAAATGAAAGAAGTTGGCTTTGGCAGAAGCTTTATGCCTCAAAGGATATCGGGAATTTTTTTTTTTTTTTTTTTTTTTTTTTAAGTCAGAAACCAAACAGGTTTGCAGTGCAAGGAGTTGTGAGAAAGAACCTGCCTGAGAAGTTTATAAGATGGGGAAAAAATATCGCACTTTTTTTTCATTTTTAAAATGTTTGACCCTCTGTGGGTCAATATGTGTATTGCATAGCTAGCTATCATTTCAGTGTTATTACTTTCTACCACTGGGATTCAGTGACAGTTTTGAAGAGCATAAAGAGGACATGTTAATCTCTTACCTGTGCCTGTAAAGCAACATGCTAAGCATTTTTTAAAATTATACTCCCACTCCCTTAACAGTGATCACTATTTATAACTTTGCCGAATAGACGCTTTCCCAGGGCTGTCTCGTTTTTTGTGGGCCCAGGAGTTGTTTCATGGAAAGGTCATTTGACCAAGGGGAGGACCTTAATTTTATGTTGTATAAAGTGCTCACATGGAACGGTAGCAAATTCAACTTTCTGCTGTTTTAGCTACTTTACGAAGGGAGGCTATGTGTGGACAAACAGAAAAGTTGTCATTTTAATCACCAACTTTCCAAAGTAGCTTAAAGGGGGGGGTGGCGGAACGGGGATAGGAGTCCCAAGATTAAAATTCTCTGTGGCGGGGATGGCAGGTGGTATGGTGGTTAAGGACACTGGACTCCCACATGGCCGACCATGGTTTGAGTCCCAGACCTGGCAGCTTGCTTTCTCACTTTCTCTCTCTCTCTCACTCTGTTCCTCTCTGGTTAAGTTAAAATAAATAAGGGACTGGTGGGTGGTGTGGTGGTTAAGGCAGCTGGATTCCCACATGGCCGACCATGGTTTGAGTCCCAGACCTGGCAGCTTGCTTTCTCACTTTCCTTCTCTCTGTCTCTCTCTGGTCAACTTCAAAAAAGTAAAATAAAATAAAATACAATACTGACATTGAATAAAATAATTCTAAAAATAAAGTTAAATAAAATCTTTTTGAGAGGTTTTTTTTTTGTGGGGGCGCGTGTGCTCACCAGAAAGACACAGAGAGACAGACAGAAAGTGAGAAATCACCCCCCAGGGGGGGTGGCCACGCCACAATCCCTTCTCCTCCATTCTCCTCTCGGGATCTTGGACACGCACGCACATGCGCCCAGCATGAGTTTAAGCCACCGGGTCCGGGACTTGAACCGCGGTCGGCTACATGAGAGTCCAGCGACATAGCCATTACGCTAACTGCTGGTCCCAATAAAATAATTTTTTAAAAAGTTCTCTATGACCATTCCTTTAGCCCTCTGCAAATGTTTTTATCATTTAGCCACAAAGTAAACCACCATGCAGACCCAGCTATTTACCCATTTCCTTTCACATGTCGCTGACATCAGTGTGTGTACATTTCAAAGTGATCGTGATTGGGCATGCTTGGTTTTGTATTAACTCACACGCAGAAGCTCGTAGCCAGTGTCGCAAAAGATGGAGAAGCTGTCTTTGAGGATGTATTTGGCTTGCGCAGGTGAGATGTGGCCGTTAGGTGGTGCCATCGGATAAGGGCAAGGCTGAGCTGCACGGAGGAAGCCCGGTTACCGGTTTTTCATGTCTGTAGCACTCCAATCTGAACGTTCTCAAGTTCTTGTATAAAATGAAACACTCAACACAGAAAGAGAGCTTGCCACAGTGGCAAAGGCTTAAAATGTAAAACCAAAGGCTGGATTCCATGCTCAGTTTCTTGTGCAAATTAAGATCTGTGGCTTTGCCTGGGACTCAGCCAAGCATGTGTAAGAGAGCCAGTGTGTAGTGAGAGTGCGCAGTCACCACAAAGGAAGGGTCCCCCTGTGCCAGGAACCTCACCCATGCCGCTCAAAGCCACGAGTGGAACTTTGAGACAGAGCTGACCGGGTTTAGATCATAGCTCTCCATTTCCTGGCGGTTATTTGTAACCTCTCTGAAACCTCTTCAGCTGAAAGATGGGGGTGATGGTGATAGTTGCTCACCTTCCAGGACTGTTGTGGGGGTCACATAAGCACCTAGGACAGTGCTTGGCTAAGTGCACAGGGAAAGGGAGCTGTAGTAGGAGCTCACCATGGCCTCTTAGCACGGCCTTTAGGACACAGCTGGAAACGGGCTTAGAGCCTCAAACCTGCTCAGGCAAGAAACTGCTCATCTAGGCTGACTCGGAGCTTCCCCTTCCCCTCACAAAACAAGCACTGTCCACAGTGCCTGGGTCCCCAGGGAGACTGCCTCCTTTCTGGCCCCCAGCCCCGGCATGCTCTTGCCCCAAGGCTTCACTCCCTCCACCCCTGCCCCCAGCTGCCCCTCAGAACCCAGGGCATAGTGACAGTTTCCTTCCCCCACTAGCAGCGGCTCTCATGGGCCCAGAGGTCTCTGCTGAGCTACCACTGGCCTCACCCAGCCCTTGTCCTGGGGCCCTGAGTTCCCAGTGCAAATTCATCTCTAGGGACAGGCTCGATTGACTACCCCATGGGAGCCCAGGGATTCTGGCGTTTGAGGGTCTGTCATGAGGAAGAGGAAGTGGAAGTTCTAGAGGGATCCAGAAGGCAGAGTCAGGGCCTGTGGGGGCAATCCAGAGAGGCAGAGGTTGTAGACCTGACTGCAGACTCCCTGACTCTAGCTTCAGTCTAAACCCTTCACTACTAGAAGCTCCCCCCCCCCAGCTCACACCCACACCTCATCCTCTGCAGCTCCACACCTTGAACTGTGATGTTTCTGGGCTTTTGCCACACTCGTCCCTCTGCCTAAAATACCTGTCCACTGTCTTCAAGACCAACCAGGTGGTTCCTATTCAGGACACCTTCCCCAGCACCCAGCCTCTGCCCGGGCCAGGGCCTGCCTGAGGCTCTCACTGCCCATTGCTTGGCTCTAAAGCCATGGTTTCCACAAACCTCAGCACCTGCTGCCAGGCGTCCTGCCTGGGTTAAAGGAAGCCAGATCTACGGTGACTGGACCAAGGGCAGAGGCTGTGGGCACTGTGGCTTCTGTACTGCCTACCCTGGTGCACGGTCATAGGATGTACGAAAAGGAGGGAGAAGGGAGAAAATGGGTGATGAAACAACAGATGGCTGGATGGAAGGAGGGGAGGATGGATGGAAGGAGGGGAGAACTGATGGAGGACGGATGGACAGGCAGGGGCGATGGATGGTGGTATTTCCCCTTGGAGGACCAGGGCCTCATAGAGCACCCCACTCATACCTGGTCTCCTTTCGCAGGCCCAGCCCAGGGAGAGTTCCATCCTGTCGTTCCTGGACGAGCCAGGAGAGAGAGCAGCTCAGAGCTCCCCAGCGGGACCCAAGGCCCACCGGCTCACCTGTGCTACTGTAGTGGATCTTCCAGCCTGTGTGGTCCCCTGACTGATCGGTGACAAAGGTGATGGTCACAGCGTGGCTCTTTGTTTCAATTCTATGGGGCAACGTTTCCCCACAAAATGGGCCATATTGCTCTTTTTCTGTTTGAATCTGAAAAAGGAGAGGCCGGTGAAACCTTAGCACCTGCTGCCAGAGGGTCCTGCCTGGGTTAAAGGAGGCCAACCACCCCTCCAGTTTGGGGAGGGATGAAGGGGCAGACCCAGGCCATGGGCAGGGGTGCTCTCTCCGACCAGGCCTGCCCCACTCTGAAGGCCACGGCCCAGCTTGGACTCCTATGGAGAATCTGAGCAGTGTCCTGAGCTGGGCAGGAGCACAAGGTGCTGAACTGCGTGACATGGGGGAGGATCCAGGACGGGTGGAAGTCTCAGGAACTAGACCTTGAGGGAGTCGTAAGGGCACTGGACTTCGGGGTGCATCTCCACGTCAAAGGGCTCCACGAAGTCCAGGATGACACTGAACCCCTCCTCCAGGCGGATGTGGTAAGTGCACCTGGAGAGTTTGGGGTACGGCCGTGGGTATTCGGGGCTGCTGAGCTCCCCAGTCCGCTCGGTGAAGACCTGGTCTGAGCACAGGGCTGGGAAGAAGGAAGACAGGGTCGGGCAGCGCAGTGCCCCGTTTGTCAGCCCTCACTGGGGACAGCAGGTGGGCTGCCGTGGGGAGCATGAGGACAGGCTGGCTGGGCCATCTGTGCCCTGGGTCTGGTCAGCCCCAAAGGCCTCACCAGAAACCAACACTCAGCCCGATGGCTGAAGGAGCAGTTTAGCAAGGGAGTTCCTCTTGCTTTGAAACTGGCACTTAGGACCAGTATTTGTAGGAACCCCCATTTACACTTCAGTGAGGGAAGAGGTGTCCTGGGACAGAGTCACACCCCCTAGGTGGCACATGCATGAGGCCAGGCTCTGCCAGCAAGAAAAAGGTACCTGAAGGAAAAGGAAGGAAGGGGTTTCCTAGAACTGAGGGGCCCTCCTGCTCTATCCAAATGTCCCCACACCCACCCCAGCAATTCTCAAGTTCAGCCACCAGGCAGCTCCCACCCATGCCCAGGCGGGACCAGCTCGGCCTCGCTCTCAGTTCCAGCCCAGGGAGAGTCTGGAAGGGCTTCTCCTTGCCCCTCGCCCAGACCTGGCTCTGCCCTGGGGGGAGTTCAGGGAAGCCCAAGTGACAGTGATTTTGCACGCGCCAGTGCCCTCCTTCCCACTGAACAGCAGACTCTGCAGTTGCTGAGCGAGCTCCCGACTGCAGCCAGCAGAGGGGTGCCTCAGCGTCGCACTGGAAGGCAACAGGAAATGGGGAGGCCCAACACAGCCTGCCTTTTTCCATGTGGCTGCTCTCTGGATATGTCGGGGGGAAGGCCAGACTGCCCCCTCAGTGAATACTTCCTTGGGTCTCTCTGCTCTGGGTCAGGCTCCCAAAGGCCAGCATTGAAGGCCCTGGGCGGCTCTTTGCATAAGAGGTAGTTCGAGGCTGCTCTGAGCTCAGCCTCTGGGGACCTAATGGGGACTCAGTCTCCCTGCGTGAACTCCAGTAAGCCCCTGTCCCTCTGCCTTGATGCTCCGTCTTCAGAATGAGGGTGGTGTTAAACCAAGCTTCTATGCAAAAGTGTCTATGGCTTGCTCGTGGAGGGGCTCTCCCTGCACTGGGGTCCACCAGGCTACGAGGAGCGAAGAGAGGAGAGCGCCAGGGTGCACACAGCCGCCCCCCTCTCCCCTCCCCCCCAGACAGGCTGCAGCAGGCGGAGGTGGAGCCGGGTTTATTAGGTCCGTGGGTGGGGCAGGTGGGGTGCCACAGTGCTCTGCCCTGGCCCAGAGCTGCAGTCAGTGGGGATCACTCTGGCTTCTGACCCACTCGGGAGGCCGGAGCCTGAGAGAGGCTAGAGGCTTTGCTCTGGAAGAGAGATCAAAGAGACAGGGAGAGACACCGAGTGGCGGCAGGGCAGGACCGTGCCAGTCAGGTTAGGGCTATCCCCTCCCCAGGGCACTAACTGGTTCCATCCAGGCCTCTAGCAGAGGTGCAGGGGTAGGGATCTGGGCAGTAGGGGTCAAAGGGGTGAGGCTACTAAGGGCCAGAGCAGGAGGCTTTGTGCATTGCCTTGCCCTGCCCTGCCCCACCTGGAGGCTTGTGGAGGGGGGCCAGAGCCAGGCCCACCTCTGCCACTTTCCCACCTCAGGAGCTGGCAACAGCTGCCCAAGGGGGGGTGGCCACATCAGGGGTTCCCAAAAGGGTCAGGTTCACAGTAGGCCCAACCCAGGCTGACTGAGCAAATGAGCTGAAGAGGGAGTGAGAATGAGCTGAGGGCTGGATGGTGGAGCAGGAGGGAGTCGATGTACAGATGTGCATGGGTGGTGATGGGGAAGGCCAAAGAAGGGCAAGGCAGGGAGGCCCAGAAGTGCCCAGCTGGCCAGGGCCAGGTGGTCCCTGCACAACCCTGTGCGGAGCAAGTCTGGCCATGAGCAGGTGTGCCTGGGGCAAGGCAGGGCTGGGCCTGCCTCAGCTCACCTGAGCAGGTGCGCTTGTTCTCGTGAAGGACGTAGCCGGCACGGCAGGAACAGTAGAAGCCGCCCAAGTGGTTATGGCAGTGGTGGTCGCAGGGGGGTGCTTCTCCGGGGGGCGCCTGACACTCATTGATGTCTGGGAGAGGCAGGCCAGGTAGGTGGTCAGAGGGGAGGAGATGGGACATTGCTGCAGCCTGGTCTCAGACTCAGAGAACAGCGACCCAGAGGTGGGCCAGCCTTGGTCACTGCAGCCCCTAGTAGTGCTTGGAGGGAGGTGGGGACACGGCACCGCCTTGTTTAAACCATGAGAGATGGAATGCCTTGCCCAAGGCCCAAGGCCCAGATAGTGAAGGTCATAGCCAGCAATCAAACCAGGCAGGTGGGCCACTGCGCTACATCCCACTGAACCCTTGAAGCAGCCTGTAAGGAGCACAGAGAGGTTGAGCCACTTGCCGGAAGAGACATTGCCAGTCCCTTCAGAGCCAGATCTGAAGTCAGGTGACAGCCTGGAGCCCGGGTTGGAGACAGTGCACCACAGTGCTCCTGCTGGCAGGGCTGCACTTTCCCATCTGTAGGTGGGGCCCTTAGTCCTGGCATCGTTAAATGTGATGGGGGTCCCGGCTCAGAACTGGGGCTCAGTTCTGAGTAGCGGAGTTGAGAAGTCACTGCTGTTACTGGTAACTTTTGCACTGCGATGAGGTCAAGCCCTGGACTCACTTCTCCTAGGAAGTTGACAGGAGCCCACCAGGGGAGGTAGGGAGACTGGGGCAGGGCTGGCCTGGCCCTAGCTGGAACTAGACCCCTGCCACAGGCAACCCTTCAGGACCCCCTTCTCACTCACCCTCTGCTGCATAGAAGGCCTCGAAGCCCGTGAACGGCTTCTCGTTGGAGTAGTCTGAACGAAAGGTGACGTCCAGGCGGGGGCCCAGCGAGTAGAAGGTGTCGTTGCCAGGCGCCCGCTCTGTGTCCGTGCTTTCCTGCCCGCACAGCGTGGCCAGCACCTTCGTCCCTGAGCTCAACTGTGGATTGGGGGTCACTGGGAGGGAAGGCAAAACCCAAGCAGGCCCTCCCACGTGGCTGAGACCAGAGCCCATCTCAGGTGTCCCCAGCCCTGGCACCTCCTTGAGGACCCTCTCCCCCACACTGCCACCACAGGCCTCCAGCACCTTGACGAAGTCGTACTCGCAGCGGTAGGAGAGCTCCAGGTCAAAGTGGGTGAAGTAGAGGCGCAGGCGGTAGCCAGGGGGTGCCGTCAGGGTCCAGCGCTGCTCCTGGTCATTGGCGTACTTCCCTGGGAAGCCAGGGGATGCCAGGCGCCCAAACACAGGCTCAGGCCACTGAGGGCCAGCGGGTACAGCCGCTGAGCCACACAGCAGGCCCAGGAGGATCAGCAGCCTGCAGACGGGGTGGGGACAGTGAGGGCCAGGGCCTGTCCTCCCACTCCTCACCCCACCAGGAGGCCGTGTGGTCTCCCACCCACCTCATGGTGTGCTGGTCTGGCTGGCTGAGCCCAGTCTGGAGTCCCATGCTGTTCTCACCTTTGATCTGTTTGTCCAGCGACCTGGCCCTGCCCCCAGCCTCCCTGACCCTGGGATTCTGGGAACTGACCCTGCAAACTGCCAGCTCTGAGTTCCAGGCAGGGAGGACAGGACGCTCCAGGAGCCAGAACCTGGACCTGCGCTACAGTGGCCTGGGAAAAAACCCTGGTTCCGCCCCTCACCCGTAAGCTCTGTTTCTCTCCCAGAGCCTGACCTCCCAGGAAGGCCTGGGTCTCCATGACAGTATCACCAGTAGAACTCCTAGGGAGACATGCAGGAATGAACACACGCATCTGATTCCACCCTTTCTCAGGCCCAAGTAAAAGACAGAGAAAGGGGATTTTTGAAAACATGCAAGTCCAGGAGGGTAGGAAGATGGGAGAAGCCAGCACCAACGTTTTGGAAGAAGAGGTGGGACAGGTGGGAATGACTGTGCACAGACCTCTGCTAAGCTGACAGTGGCTCAGGAGTCTGTGTCCCCAGGTCCTTCTGGCAGTGTTTAAGAAAGCCAATCCCAAGGACCAGCAGTTAGCGTAATGGCTATGTCGCTGGACTCCCATGTAGTCGACTGCAGTTCAAGTCCCGGACCCGGTGGCTTAAACTCACGCCAGGCGCGTGTGCATGCGTGCCCAAGATCCTGAGAGGAGAATGGAGGAGGAGGGATTGCGGCGTGGCCATCCCCCTTGGGGGGTGATTTCTCGCTTTCTATCTCTCTGTCTCACTGTCTCTCTGGCGAGCGCACACACCCTGTAGCGAAAACCTCTCCAAAAAGTAAAAAAAGAAGCCAATCCCAGGCCAGCCCATGGCCTGGGGGTTAAGGCAGATGATTCCACATGGTCAATGACATGGTTCTGGCTTGGAAAACACACCATGTGCCCAGAATCCCAAAAGAGAAGAGAAAGGATTGAAAATCATGCCCCTAGGGGGTGTGCTTGCTCTCTCAGAGGAGAGCACATGCACTCTGGCAAAATTTCTTCTTTTTTTTTTTTTTTGAGGTTTTGTCTTAAGGCGTGTATGCTCACTGGAGAGAGAGAGACAGAGACAGCGACAGGGAAAGTGAGAAATCATTCCCCAGGGGGAATGGCCACTCCATAATCCCTTCTCCATTCTCCTGGGATCTTGGGCATGCAAGCACACTGCCCAGTGTGATTTCCAAGCCTCTGAGTCCAGGACTTCAACCATGGTCAGCTATGTGCGAGTGCAGGGACATAACCATTTCGTCATCTGCTGGCCCTATTATTATTTTTTAACTTGACTTGAAAGCATGAGAGAGGGGAAGTGAGAAAACAAGCCACCAGGGACTCAAATCCATGGATCAGCCATATGGGAGTCCAGTGCCTTAACCACCATGCCACCTGCTGGCCCCGAGGTCTATTGCTGGAGTACAGTGGAGGTCCAGGCCCAGCCCAGGAGGGCGGCAGATGAAAGACAGGTATTAAGCAGGCAGGCTGACTGAGCTGCAGTCTTCCTCCTGTCTTGACTCCTAGAATCTGGTAGGATTGTCCACCCCAGGCTTGTCCCTATTTCCAGAAAGTGTGACCACTCTAGGAGGAAAGACCTAAAGATACTATCTTGAAGGTTCTACAAGCATCCCAGTGAAAGTCAGGTTGCCAAGCCCCCACTTATGTGCTCAGGGTTAACAGTTCACTAACCAAAACACAGTGACAAAGCAGGGAGAAGAAAATATCCAAACCGAAGAGAAACAATCATTACTGTCTTCAGAGGAAAAAGAGACACAAGAACAAGAGCCGAGAGTGGTATACTGTTTAAAAAAGGCATGTAGGGGGGCCAGCAGGTGGCATGGTGGTTAAGGGTGCTGGATTCTCAACTG